TCTCTCCACATTTTTGTTGCCTTTGTTTGGGAAATGGTGAGACAATTGCACATCTTTTACTATCTTGTCCATTTGCTTCTTTTGTTGGAATTGGTTTTCTTTCCTATTTGGCTGTAGGTGGACCCCTCCCCCAGATGTAGTAAGCCTTTTTGACCCAAGTTTCTTCACATTACCAAAGAAAAGGAGTAAAGTGATGTGGAGGGCAACAAGAGCAGCCATCTTTTGGTCTGTATGGGAGGAAAGGAACAACAAAATCTTCCAAGGGGTAGAAAGATCAAAAGAACAAGTCATTGACTGCATAGCCATTAAAGTTTTGCACTGGCTGAAAGTTACTGACTTGTTCAAAGACTTTTCAGTGGATGCTATACTAAGGGGGTGGTCAGCAGTGGCAAATTCTTCAACTAGACGGTCTTTGTTTCAGCCTTATTGGACTCCTGAAGCACAACAAAGGGTAAAATTAAACTTTGACGGAAGCTCCTTGGGTAATCCAGGACCCTCTGGAGCTGGGGGAGTCTTCAGGGATGGGGAGGGTGGATTGATGGCACTATATTCTGGTCCCTAGGTGTGGGAGACTCTCTGAGAGCTGAAATTATGGCTCTACTACAAGGCTTGAGATTGGCCAAACAATGGGGATTTTAGAACTTTGAGGCGGAGGGAAATTCTAAACTGTTAATATGATGGCTGCAGACAAAAAATCTGGGTGTATGGACTTTTAGACAACAAATAAGGGAAATACTTTACTTAGCAAGGGAGACGGGGGTAATTTTCAAATGGGTAGGGAGGTCAGCCAACTCTGTGGCTGATAGTTTGGCAAAGCAGGGGGCCTTCAGGGAGAACTTTTTTTGGGCTGTATTGTAACTTCAAGAACTTGACAGTGTGTGATGATTAATTACTATTTTTAATGAAAGCCACCGTTTTCAAAAAAAAAAAAAAAAAAACTGGAACACACATTTGCTTAATCAGAGTTCAGGATAATAAGAGTTATAGTTATTATCATTTTTAGCTTAGGAGCAGTTTGAGTGGCTGCCCTTAAGTTGTGGACTGATTCAAGATCTGGTTATGCCTTAAATTAGCTGAACCATCATATTGCTTAGTTGAACTGGCCTTCTCAGCTGGTTGGACTGTTTAACTAGCATTAACTCACTGATGGTTACATATTTTACTTGACGCTTTGTTTCCGAGGTAATCCTATATCACCATTTTACCAGGTTGTGTGTCCATCAGGGTTGAATTGATCCACCCACACACCAGGATGGTCACTGGTCAAGGTTTTAAACAATTAAAGGGGTCCACTCAAAAATTATTTTTGGTACTTAGTATATTCTAGTTTGCTTTTGATATTGATTATTTTTCTATTTGGTTACAGGAAATGGAAATGACTGAGAAGTATTTGAGGTCTGAGTTGGAAAAAATGCAAGCTACATTGGAGACAGACCGTTCTGCTAAATCACCAGTTGATCCAAGTACCACATTGGAATCTAAAGATGATACAGAGGCTTCAAAGGATATTATATTGGACAAGCTAGAAAATAAGAGAAAAGAGATGGTTGCTATTTCCTTTCTCAGCTTCACTGCAGTAACACTATCTCCCTTTTTTTCTTTTTTCCTTTTACATGTTCTTAGGAGTTAAGCTTTTTTTTTTCCCCTTAGAGTTCCATTGAAGAGGGAGTTCAAGACTTGGAGAAAAAATGGGCAATGGTTCAGCATAATTCGTTGAGGCAGCCTTCTCCAGGTAATTTTCTTCATTGAACAATTCTAGTTTCTTTTTATTTATCAAAAAAAAAATTCTAGTTTCTTTTTAAATTTTGTCTTTCTAGAAAATTAATAGGTGGCCCATTGATTAACCATTCAACTTTTATATTGGTACGTAACAATTCTATTTGTAATTTGGTATTTGGAATTTTGATTTTCTTTTCATCCCTTCCCCTCAATTTTCCACCATTTCCGTGCATCATTAAAGTTATATTTTCAGGTGTGATGATTTTTCTTTGCATGCTTTCAATCTTGTTTGGAGATTGAGACTGATATAGGGCATTTGGTGAAGAAACTCTTCCAATTTTTAGAAAGGTAGGGTTTCTTCATGAAGTACCCCATTGAAAGTGGTAGTATTTTGAAAACTCAATTAGGATTTTAGAATCAGGATTGGACGGTTTAGCACCTTTGACTTTTTTATGGTTGATACAGAGGAATGGGGATTGGTACTTGGGCTGGTTTAAAGTCAATCCCAGGCCAACCCTAGGCAACAAGAGCTCCCTAATCCAACCTGAGCATTAATCCTATTCCTACCCAATCGAAGTCTTAGAAATGCAACCCTCACCCAGCTGAGCAACACTCTCTCCATTTGCATAAAATTACTTAAGGAAAGGAAAATCAGTTAACCATGCTTTAATAATCATCAGGGAAACAACAAGGGAAAATGTAATTTATATCGAAACCTATCTTATAAATACTCATTCTGGAAGGAGAAAGATACATCAGGCTTCTCAATCATTGAGATCATCTTGCTTTAGCAATGTGCCTTCCAAAAAGGAAAATTAGCAATGGAGATCATTTTGTGAAACACAATTGATGTTTTCAGATTCCCCCACCTCACAAATTTTTATCTGTTTGTACGGTTGGGGGAATCTGACACAATACAAGGGGGTGGCACTGTGTCATAGGTGGGGGTCTTGGAAAGTAAAATCAGAAAGCAATTAAAAATTTGTGAGGTGGGGTAAAGTGAAGATAATACAAAATCTGTAGTCATTTGTACATGTATCCCTTTTGCAACATCCTTGGTGAGACCATTCTTCACCCATTAAACTCCTGTTTATATGCCAAGGGGATATGTTAACAGTTTTTTTTGCTTTATTTGGAGATGGATCCCCTCAGAGGAGGTTCTGTCCCTCTTTGAGCCTCATGGTTTTCCCCTGGGAGGAGAAGGGGTTAAATCATGTGAAAGTTCCTGAGAGAAGCAATCTGGTCAATTTGGGAGGGGAGGAATGCCAGAGTCTCTAAATTCCTCTCTCCAATAAACCCAGTTGAGCTTATTATAATCGGGGTAGACCATTAAGTTGTATGAGAGAGGAGCTTAGAGATTTCAGCATTGATGGTGTTGTGAGAGGATGGGCAAATGTTTTGTCTTTACAGACCAGGATTGCTTTTTTTTGACAAGTACAGACCAGGATTGCTTCTCCATTTAGATTAATAAATCTTAATTTTGATGGATGATTTTCCGAGAAATTCAGGCCCCAATAGCAGGATAGAACTACATCAAATCCCACAGGTGCAAACTACAAAGAAGCAACCCCACTAAAAGATCTCCCTACTCACAGGTTGACCAAAAGACAAAATCAAGATCCAGCAAGACAGCTCCACCTCTGGTACAGGCCCACCTCACAGGATGCCATTTCTTCCCCCTCCTGCCATGGCATCTGCCTCTAGTGCTTTTTGGAATGCACTATTATTGCTATACTTTGGAAAATAAAGACAAAAACCTCGATGACCCTGTGTTCCTAGACCATCGGACTTGAACTCTCTCAACCACCTCCTTGAAGTCTAACCAATCACTCCTGAGTCCTGATCATGATAAAACATGGCTTAGCAAATTGCCATAATTCACTCCCAAATGAGACAAGCCTCGCCATATAATCCCAGATCCACAACAACTTGCCTGCTTCACAGGATCCTTCTTAGATTTTGATACCACTTAAGCATTGCCCAGACTTGAGCTTTCTTTGTTTTTTTTGTTTTTCTGATAGTAAATAAATGAAATTCCATTAAAGTGGAAAGGGGCTTAGTATGGCTTTAGAATCCTTCATTTAATTTCTTGAGGATGCAAAAATGGTGTATTGGGCTACTTGGGCATAGAATTTGCAATTCCACACATACCCCCCCCTCCCCCCTCAACAATACAAAGATTATATCCCAGTCACTTAGGACTGAAATTGGAAGGCAGAATAGGATTTCTGTATCCAAACTAGTTGGACAAGGCACTGATGGTGTACTATATCTAAAATATATCACATTTCAAAGAACCTAGTGTTTTCCACTCAACTTGTCTTAGTCTTGTATACCTAATTGGTCCCGCTTGTGAGGTGCAAAACTAAGCCTAAATTTGTCTTTTGGACAGATATTACAACTTACCGTGGTTTCTGTGGATTAAACTTTTCGATGACTATTCTCTCCCTCTCTTTTGATCCTGTTGTGTCTCTTCACAACATGGAGAGACACATTTTGTTGGCCTTTTGGTCTAATTTGTGCCTTATCCTTTCACATTGGTGTCATTTGATCTATAAATCCGATGAAGATGACCCCTTGCCTTTTCTTTTAGAGATTTTGTAGATTGTGATTTTTCTTGAAGTCTGATGCTGTAATTTATCATTCTTTTACACCAGAAAAACTCTTCCTCTGAAATTTATGGATGCTTCCTTGTTTTTCCATAATAATCCATGAACTGATGAATCATTTGCAATGAAAGTTGGTACTTATTGTGTTGATCAGAAAAAAAATGTTATTTATTATAATTAGGAGTTTCAGGGCTTTACTTTCTGTAGGTGTTCAAGACTGCTATCAATCTTGATCACTAAGAAATTTTAGGTTCGAAGAGAAGAGAAAGTGAAGAAGGAGAAAGAGTGGTGAGAGAGCAGTAGAACACAGTTTTGAGGAGAAGAACAGAATCTCAATATCCTGCGGCCGCCACTTTAATTTAATATATATATGTTATGCTAGTTACATGAAAGGACACATTTGCCCTTGGTGTTTACATCATAACACAACAATATAAAACTGAAAAGTAAATAACAACTAAAATAACAGAATCATAAATCAACCACAGCTGTGACTAGATACATTCTACCCTACGGACAGAGTGGAACCACAGCTGTGGGGCCCACATCAATGTTCTCTACACTCCCCCTCAAATTGGGAGTAGATGTTTATCATTCCCAACTTGGATAGATCTGCTTCTAGCTTCTTTCTTGATACGGCTTTAGTGAGGATGTCCGCTAGTTGCATACT